CAAGGGAGGGGATTGACCCACTCTGCTCTGCACCTTGAATATTGGCAGTTTTGGGCACCACAGTATAGGAAAGATATTAAGCTCTTAGGGACCATCTGAAGGAGGGCAATGAAGATGGTGAAGGGCCTTGAGGGAAAGCGCATGAGGAGCGGCTGAGGTCATATGGTCTGTTCAGCCTGGAGGAGAGGAGACTGAGGGGAGACCTCATTGCAGTCTACAGCTCTCTGGTGAGGGGAAGAGGAGAGGCAGGCACTGATCTCTTCTCTGTGGTGACCAGTGACAGGACCCGAGGGAATGGCCTGAAGTTGTGTCAGGAGAGGTTTAGGTTGAATATTAGAAAAAGGTTCCTCACCCAGAGGGTGGTTGGGTATGGGAACAGGCTTCCCAGAGAAGTGGTCACAGCACCAAGCCTGAAAGAGTTCAAGAAGCATTTGAATTATACTCTCAGGCACATGGCATGACTCTTGGGAATGGATGCAGGGTCAGGAGTTGGACTCAATGATCCTTGTGGGTCCCTTCCAACTCAGCATATTCTGTCATTCTGTGATTCTTGCTCCTTGGTTTATTGCTCTGAGGTTTGGGAAAGCCAAAAGGATTAAAGTGCTTTACCCAAGAATTCCTTCTCCACTTTTAAAACCCTTGCACATACATTTCCTAACTTTGTTCTTCCCACAATATCTGTATAACCAGCATGGACAGTTCAATTCTCTATTTTCAGTTTTATAAACTATGGAAAATAGGAGTGCAATTATAGCTTGGGAGAAACCAGACTGAAACTGATAAACTGAAACACCTTTCATCTGAAGCCAAAGAGAATAGCAAAATGTCCCTTTGGATGGTAAAAAAATAAAAACCAACACACAAACCACAAGCTTGTGGGGATCTTAAATGCCAGAGTGGGAGGACTGACTTGGAGTTTTCACATTTGTGCACATACGTGGAGAAACTACATGAGATTCAGTAAGGAAAGAATAAGGTGCAAGACATGTCAAAATAGACAGGTGGAGTAACTGAGGAAAGTCAGGAAAGGGTTCTGGTACTGAATACTGGCTAATTTAAAACATTGAACTATGAGAAAAATTGAGCTATTAACTTACTGTTTAATTCCTACCTGTTTAGAGGTATTCAATTGTATTCATTTTTTAAATGAATAGGGTTGCTTTTCATACCTGAGTACATCACCAATTTCTCTTAGCCAGTAACATATTTGACCACATATTCCAGGCTGTGTGTCAGATCAGATTTTAAAAACTTCCTCTCCTCATCGCTTTTAAGACCCTCTCTGGAACAAAATGAAGGTCAAGTCATAGAAAGCAACAGCTGCCAAGCACTTTCCTAACTCCTTAATGTCCATAAACCAGAAGTAATGGTGTGAAGAACACAGACTAAAGTGCCAGTGAAGAAAGGGTAACCTCTTCAGAGAGCAGTGACAGTCTGCAAGAGATGTCCAGAACTGATAAAGCAGAAATAACAGGATGTGAGTTTTCACATTTTCACAAATTCAAAGTATTAAATTATTCCATTACAGAAAAGAGTGCAATGGTACCCAAACGAAGTAAAAGTGGGGAAAAAAAATCAAGTTGGGGTATCGCAGGGAATGACACTATAACTCTGATGTAGAATCTTTTAGGAATTTGACATAGCCTTTGGAAAATATTTTGCAAATTTTCAAGTGTTCAGAGCAATTCAAGATTTAAGTCAGGCTTTCCTTACATGAGTATATTGCAGTCCAAAACATTACATCAATGGGTTGCATTTTGTTGCTAGAAATTTCAAAACATTCTGCAAATTGCATTTCTGCCATGATACAAAGAATTACTGCCAAGTAAACAAATGCACTGACATGCATAATTTCCATTTTTTTTCTCCTGCAAAGTCCAATACATCTTACTCCTCAACAGTTGTTTTGTGTAGTTTTGTCCTTCCTTACCGTGACTTTCTGTACCCAGTATTTCTAATGGGGAAAAGAGCATGGACATTCACAGGCTATACAGCTTGATCTGAACTCTGTAAACTGCAGCCAATTTACCCTGTGGCACTTGGTCTTTGTGGTCTATTTCTAATCTCTCCTGCCAGACTCCTTGCTCAAATCCCCTCCAACTTCTCAACAAAGTCTTTTTTTGTTAGCCTACCTTTTCAACATGCAGTCATTGCTCCAGTAAGCCCCAAAATTACTCCTTTTTCTCTCCCTCTTGCCTGTGTCTTTTCTTTGCTAGGAACTCCTACACCCTGCTGTTGATTTCCAACCATCTTTCTCTCCCAACACAGCTTATACTTTCCCCCAACACAGAAAATGACAGTGATATGATACAAACAGCCTCCTCCTGGTCAGTACGTCCTCTTTTGAAAAAACTGCTGATTAGTCCTGTTAAAAGGCCCAAAGAAGCCTAAGAGGTTAGCTCTTCAATATATGAAAAAAATAGTCATAGAAATGTCAGTTGCATTTTCTACAAGCTATGACCATGTCTAAAACTAGAGCAGATGATCCCTTGTGATCATGTTGGCATGTTTTAACAAGTGTGTTATTGCAGAAAAAAAAAGGCTTAAACCACTGACCTAAGTAGACCAAATTAAGTCCCACTCAATCAGTATGATCTCACTTTATTCAAGCTTGTTCAGAACATTTTGAAAGAGTTTTGACAAAATGACTGCTTGACAAGTACTTTCTTCCAGCACATATTGCCTCTCCCACAAGCATCATGGTGTTACTTGCATTTTTACATAACTTACAGGAATGTTGTCATGGGTTTAGGGCTGATATAAACCCAATAGTGAAATAAGATGATCTACTTGTGCACAAACATAGTATTGATAAGCATAGAATTGTAGCCTGTAGCACCCTTATACCAAAATGCAGTGAAAAAATTTTGCACACTGTTGTGCATTGTAACCCAATCAAAACTGAAGTAATTAGTAAAAAGAACTGACTGTGCCATTAAACTAAACTCAGAACAGTTCTGCAACAATACAAGTCAATGTTGTTACTTCTCTAATTTACAGCTGTTTTAAGGCCAATATTGAAATACCAGCAAGAAGAAACCCACAACCATTTCTTGGAACTGTGTGTAGGTTTTATTAGTACTTTTGTATAGAACACATATTTCTAACGTTTTCCCATGTCATCATACAATGAACATTATACCATAAACATCATGCAATAATTAAAGTCCACCAGAAACAAGTTCCAACAAAGGTGAGAGAAAGACACAACACCTAAAGATGAAATTCTACTTTGATTTTGTACACTAAATATAACATTAAATATCTCTTGAAAGAGAGTTAGGAAAATGGTCTGATAGTAAAAGCCATATTTAGAAAATGGAAATGAATTCCAGAGTGAAAGCAGCAAATGATCAAAGGAATTCACAGTATAACGTTAACAGGGAGCAAAAGGAACAAATTGCTCTTTCAAACAGATGCAAACAGTATCCCATTAAGGGCTAGCCCTGTTACAATATTATAGCTTTCTGTGCCCTTGGTACAAATCGATCATAGTGGTTTGAGCATCCTTCACAGGGTCCAGATAAAATAGTGTGGAAAATGGAGGGCTGTAAAAATGATAGTGTGATAATTCAAAGCATCTGTGACTGAAGATGCAAAAACAACAGTAAAATGGCTTAAGAAACTTTGGCTGCCAAGTAGCTCTGAAACCAACAGAGGAAGAAAAATCTCAAAAATATGACATTGTCTTTTTTTGTCTCCCATTGTAGGGACTCAAATGTTCTGGATATAGCAGTACTCCTAAAAGTCTGGGAGCACACTGTAATTTAAAGGAACTGAGAAGTGTCACCGAACTCAAAATAATGGATTCACTAACCTAGACATTATTTAATCAAAGGGCAAAAAAAACCCCTACAACTACAAACACATCTTGTCTTATAATATTACATATACAACTGATGTAATTGTAGAATCATAGAATGGTTTGGGTTGGAAAGGACATTAAAGATTATCTAGTTCCAACCTCTAGGGCCACCTCTCACTAGACCAGGTTGCTTAGATCAAGCGTAGCTTGATTGCCCTTTAAGCCTTGAACACTTCCAGGGACGGGGCATCCCCAACTTCTCTGGGCAAGTAGTTCCAGGGCCTCACCACTCTCAAAGCAAAGAACTTCTTCCTGATAATGAATCTAAATCTACTCTTTTAGTTTTAATCCATTCCCCTTTGTCCTGTCACCACATGCTCTTGTAAATACTCTCCGTCTTTCCTGTAGGTTCCCCTCAGGTACTAGAATGCCACAATTAGGTTACCCTGAAGCCTTCTATATTCCAAGCTCAACAAAGCCAGTTCTCTCAGCCCTTCCTCATACGAGAGGTGCTCCATCTCCCTGATTATCTTGATGGCCCTCCTATGGACTCATCCTTCTTATGCTGAGGACCCCAGAGCTGGGTGCAGTACTCCAGGTGGGGTCTCATCAGAAGGGAGCAGAGGGGGAGAATCCCGTCTCTTGCCCTGCTGGGCACACTGCTTTTGATGCAGATAAGGACACGTTTGGCTTTCTGGCCTGCAAGTGCACATTGCCAGCTCATGTCCAGCCTCTCAGCCACCAGCAATAAGTATATAATAGGTACATATTGTGTTTATGTTGCAAGGTTTCCATAACAGGAGGTTGCAAAGGTGGCTTCCATGGGAACATGCCAGAAGCTGTTGCCACTGGTTAAAGCTGAGCCCATCAGCAACAGTGGAAGCATATGCGTAGTAACACATTTAAGAACAGGGTAAAAATACCTACACAGCAGGAGCCGGGAGAGAAGAGTGAGAAAAACAATTATGAGAAACAGATCTGCAGACACCAAGGTCAGTAAAGAAAGAGAGGCAGGAAGTGCTTCAGGCACTGGAGCAGAGATTCCCCTGCAGCCCCGGTGAAGACCATGGTGAGGCAAGCTGTCCCCCTGCAGCCCACGGAGTCCCACACTGGAGCAGGGTCCTGGTAGCATCTGTGGACCTGTAAAGAGAGTAGTCCATGCAGGAGCAGTTGTGGTGCAAAGACCTATGACCCCATGTGGGACCCCTGTTGCAACAGCGGATTTCTGAAGGCCTCCACTCCCATTGGAGCAGTGGAAGAACACCAGCAGGAAGGAGCAGCTGAGACAATGAGTGATGAAATGACTGCAAGCCCCATTCCCCACCCCTCAGTACTGCTAAGTGAGGGAGGAGGTAGAAGATTTGGAAGGGGAGGGTGAGTGGCAGTCAAGGTGGGTTTTAGATTTGTCCATTATTCTATTCTGATTTTGACTGGTAATAGATTAATTTCCCCAAGTTGAGTCTATTTTGACTGTGACAGTAATTAGTAAGTGACCTCCCTGTTCCCATCTCAACCCACCAGCTTTTTGTCATATTTTTCTCCCTTATGCTGTCAATGAGCGGGGAGTAACAGGGTGGCTTGGTGGGCACTGACAGCCAGTCAAGGTCAACCTACCACGAAGTAATCAATGTACTATAATCAGACCTTCATAGTCTTATTATAATACTGAACATAATATTGATTATAATACTGAAAATAATAATACTGATTAGAATATTACTGAACATAACACCAAAAAAAATACAAATTAAAAACTAGAAGGCTACAAAATACAATAACAGAAATTAAAAAGATGAAAGAATTAATGGCAGCTCGTTACATTACAGAGAAAACACCATCCTGTAGGAATGCTTCACTTTGGATAGCATGAAATCACAGACTGTTTTTTTGCTGCCACAGAGCAGTGTATTTTATGTTGGACCAAACTGAAGTAATATGAGAGTACAGTAAATATTTACACAATGGGGCACCATGCTGAGAAGTTGCAACTCCAAATAGGACTTAGGAATCACAGCTAGTAAAAAGCTGAGCACCAGTTCCTAGGTCAAGAGGACAACTGGTCTTCCTGATTATATAAAAAGAGAGATCCTGAGGGCTTCAATCACCCACCACAAGCACTGTATAATTTCAAAGTTGGTGTCAATACTTTGGATGAAAGTTGGTAAATCAAAGGGAAATTGAAAAATCCACCAAAAATAATTAAGTTGTAAAGCAGGCTTTATGAGAAATCACAGTATTTCAGTCTCCTTTACTTCTCAAACAGAGCAGTGAAACATTGTAAGTACCTAAAAAAACTTACATGCTCTCCACATAACATAAGTAACATAAACATAACATTACCAAGGGAATGGAAGCTGAAGCTGTTTAAAGTCAGATCACACCGTGCAAAACTGTGTTACAGATCATAATAGAACCTCCCTGATTGGCCATTTTAGCTAAGGATCTTTAGGTCTTTTCCTCTGATATTTAATTTCTAATTCAGAATATTATGTTAGTCTACTACTGTTCAAACTAGATGATCACATTTTCCAAGGCCTTACAGGCTGTAAATTTACAAAATTAACCATGTGTCAGTGTGAGTAGCTTTGAGTTTTCAATGCGCTAACATTTAGGATCCCCCAAAAAGTGGAAGAATATTCTAAGAAAACACCTATTTATTTCAAGACAGTTTCACATAAGCTTTTCTCATCATCATAAGGATGTTACATGCAGGCCTGACAAAATACATCTCCCACTTAGATTTTCTTACAGACAAACTCAACAATACAGGCTTTCACATAATAAATGTGTTTCATTCTATCTGCAGTTCTTGCTCATCTTAAAGCACAGACTCCAAAGATTTTGCCTCTAGGAAGAGATTCATTAATATTTTAATGTGGCATATTGTACTCTCTTTTTTTTTCTTTGTTTCTTTATTTTCTCTTCTATGGTAATGAACCCCTGAAAAGAAGAACAGCCAGAGTGAGCACTTGAAGGTGATCATTTCTAGACTGGTAAGATGCAGTGAGCAAAGACTTTGAAATGAGGGGAAAATGTGTCGGTTGCAGGTTTCTCTGATAGGAAGTAAGAAGGAGCAGAGGTGACTGAAACTCCTGAGGCTGCTAATATTCTTCTTGGCACACCTTTCTACTGCTCTGGCTGGACAGAATCTGGCATCAGCAGATTGACCAAAATACTGAAAGCAGATAAAACACATGGAGTTCAAATGAAAAGAACAGCCATTTAACAATATGCATTTCCAGATTCGAACAAAGCATGAATGAGTCTTTCGTTCCCAGTACATATCTTCACTGATTCTTAGAGAAAGTTTGGCAGAATAATGGTTCCTTTTATATGTTTTTAAATGGGTTTAAATTTACATCATAAGCTTGGAGTACAAGAGAATTATTACAGGCATCTGGTGTTGGTCAAGCAATTAAGCAAAAAGATAGCTTAAACCAGCTCTCCCTTGGTGAAAGTTCACATACAAAATACATCAGGCACTGCTCGGTCTCAGGAGTTGAAAAGACAAATCTGGTAGAAAAGAAATAGCTATGAGTCAGATCTCTTTTGTCCAGCTTCAACCATCACCTGCCTGCTTGCAGTTGCTTAGATAGAGGATCTTCAAAGCTCTTCTAGGGCTTTAGAGGACAATATTTTGATGAACAGCACAGCATAAACAGATTTTTTTCCTGGTTTCTTAGTTGATGGGATATCATCTGGGAGCAACCCTTATAATACCACTAAAACTAATAAATCAATGCTGATGAAGCTATTTAAATGAGTGAGAATATTAAGAAGCACTACCGGCAAGACAAGGTAGAGAATCAATATAGAAAGATTGCTCAGGTTGGCCAAGGGTATGATTTTTAAAGACAAGCCAGACAGCAGTAGAGATTAGAGATAGAGAAGGTAAACAAAAGGTGAAAACTAAAGAAACTGATTGTAGTAAATTTTTAAGTCCCCCAAGAACCAATAAACACCCACAAAAAAATATCTGGCAGGAGATCAAGTTTCATTTAGAAGTCAATGAAGCCAAATTTAAAAAAGCAAAATGATGGAGGCTTTGCTCCCCTAAAATACTTTCCATGGTTCAAAGCTGTTCTTCCCAAAACCATTGATTAGAAGCTACACACATCCGCTACTAAGCTCAATGAGTTAAGGGTCACTAGGCTACAGTTGATATTCTTCACTCTCTCCTGCAAAAATCCAATCTCCTCAGAAAAAAAAATGGTTGACATTTAGAGTATACACATACCATGGTATTTGCTAAGGTTTTAAACAGTTATGAGTATCAAATTCTGAGAAAGTGGCTTTTTTTTTCTGAATGTCTGATTAGCATAGAGAGGAAAACCCATATTCTCAGAACTCTTGAACACTCTTAACATATTCCAGGCCTCACGCATTATACAAAGAAAACCTGATTGCTGCAGCATTTAAGCTCAGAGCTGCATCCTTCCCCCTCTGCACAGAAGTCTAAAAGGCCAGAGGTTGAGAAGCACTTCTCACCCTGGGGCTTGAGTGCCAAATCTAAGACTTGGAATGGAGCCAAAGGTAAAGTTGGAAGACACTTCTTTTCTTTCATGTGGCTTTAGGTAGTTCTCCTGACAGATGTAGGCAGTAGAAAGGTCAGGGTTTTTTCCAACGGCACTGGCATTCAAAAAAACTATAGTCAGACACTTGGCTTTATTTTTCTTCAGTGGCTGTAAAGCTATTTTATGTAGCTTAGGAAGCGTATTTGATCCACTTAAAGAGAGATTTCAATACACAGATGTCTTAAACTTCACAAATTGTTATATAGTTAAACTAAGCCTCATAAAACTAAAGCCATTGAATTGTAAATACGTTATACCCAGGAATAGCAGTCAATGGGAAGCAGGCAGTGATGCAAAGTTGCCTTCCCTAAGTGTGGATGGTGGGAGCTACTGTACCTTCCCCTTCACTCCAAATTATATTCTTCCAAGCACAGCCCCACAGTGAGCATTAATTACAGTGTGTTTGTCCCAGCTGACAGAGAAGGAGCATGTCATGAAAAATGATGATTGAGAGGGAAGGGAAAAGAGAAAGAAAACAAATGGATACTGTGTCCATGAATTTTAAGGCTTTGCTATAGGAGAGAGACAGAGTTCATGTTATGAGATAACTAAAGCAATCATACTTTTTCTCCAAAGTGCTCCTCAGAATTTGATCATGCAATTTAGCAGTTTTTCTCTCTTTGCCCCATTGGTTTTTGCTATTGTTTAAAACACTTTTTTGTCTGTAATGTCTTCAATCTTGTTTCCTATTTACTCATTCCGATTGCTTTATTTCAGTTTATTCGAATAAAAGACTGTCATTGCAGCATAGATCTAGAAATACCCCTTATAAAAGTGCAGACTAAAACAAAACTAAGCTACTACCTTCTAAATCTGAGGAGAGACTATGTTTAAGGTTCCTAGACAGTTAGATAATAATTTCAGGGAGTAACACTCTGAATATGTGCTAATTTATAGCTCAGAAATGATTGAGAGAAAATTAAAACCTGAAGATTGTTTCTGTTTTACAATATCTTTCAAATTCCACTGAGCTTCCTCTCTTACGTATGTGACTTAATAACATAGCATGATTATTTATAGGGAATGCAAGGACAGAGACATCTTGTGGTAACAAGAAGAGGTTTGCAAACAAATGCATTCTTATATACTAAAAATTCCCTTTAGATACATGAAATAAGCTGTTTAAAGTAATTTCAAAACAAAAACTTTAAAATATTAAAATTCTTCACTGATAAAGATGTTTATTATTTTAAAGAGTTGTTTGGAGGTTTTATTGACCAAAACAACATCGTTGAAATTGTACATATGGTAAAAGAATAATTTCTGTTGAAAAAGACTCAGCTCTACTTTCAGTAAACACTAGCAGCTGCTACAAGTTCAGACTGCGTAGAAAATGAATTTGACCAAACAAATATAAATTAAATCACTATCTCCTTACAGAAGAATACTAATAAAAATCTCTAGTAGAGGGGAAATTAAATTGTGAATCTAAAGTCCAGCAAGGAAAAGTTAGGACAGACATTGTCTCTCTCTGTGGTGGTTAACAAAAAAGAGTAAGTTAACATTAGAAGTGATGGCTGGAAATTACACAGGTGTGTCAAGAATGTGGACTTTCCTCCTATGGTTGGTCTCCATGCTGGACTTCTTTCATTCAGTTTCTTCAACTTAAAATGAAGGATGCTTCTTATTCTCTGTGAAACATTTGGAGTTTCTGCAGGCAGTATCATCCTCTGCTTTCAATAGAAGTTGAATGCAGAGCAATATGAAAAATACCTTTCCACTCTTGAGAGGCTCCAGTGAGGTTTATCATATAAAAATGACTACATTGAAAAAGGCATTAGTGTTACTGATCGATGACAACACTGAATGCTCTAGAAATGGGAACAAGTACAGCATTTGTAAATCTTCGGAAATCTAGATGTGTCTATCCTGTTGGTAAATAAATGCCATTGATCAATATTCTTCTAAGTGGAAGGAAGAAAATTAATAAATTAAACCTAGAGGATTGCGGGAAGATGTTTCAGTGCTACAAAATATTGCCTAATGCTGAATGACTGAGGGGTCATGAAGTTTAGGGAGATTAAACATTTCATCTATGACCACAAATCAAGGTCAGACAGCAGCTTTGGAAAAACACCTCACACCCCAAGCTACAGCTTTTAACAGCAGCTGACATAGTCTTATATAGCCATATTATCCCTTCGTTTACTGTCATAAAAGTATCCATGTATGAAATGTTAATCATTACAAGCTACCATAAAAATAGAGAGAACTCTCTCAAAAAATATTTGAAACAGATGTTGAGAACAACATCAGATAAAGATCTATGTTTCCCTCTGGAATGTGAGAAAACAAATATCCTAATACTTTCAAGCAGAGTACTAAATTTCTGTGAGTGGATTTATCACACCGTATCACAAGACGATCTCTTGCCTGATACCACGTTAAAGAAGAGCAATATTGGGTCTGAAATGCTGAATGGGTTTGCAGAGTTACAACTGAGATTTCTCTTAACTCACTTGGAAGACATCACAGGCTGTTTTGCCAGCCATCTAGAAAGTCAGATATTTATGGAACAGGCAGCATAGAGTCCAGAAAGTGTGTTGTTCCTATTGCTATTTTTTTTAATTGGTATTATTTCCTGTCTTCTGAAGACCCAAAATCCCATTCTAATGCAGCTTTCCAAAAATTGCAGAGGAGGGAGAGAGCAGAAACAAACAAGATGTAGTGGTTCGAATCTTGTTTTCCCCCAGAGGCTAAGAAAAGTGGTAGACCCCAAGGGGTGGAAACCCCTGGAAGTTTTGAAGTCCTGTCCAATGGGCGCTCCTACAGAAATGTAAACATACCACAAGCAAACGGAAGAGAAGAGTTGTAGTTTAGTAGTAGGTGAGGTGGCCATGTTGTAGAACCACGAGGAAAGGGGCCCAGAGCCCCTCGGGGCCTCTGGGGCCCCCCAGCCCCAACTGGGGGCTACAGAGACTTGGAACAGTGTTAAGCTGGACTATGTGTCTATAGCTGTGAGCTGGGGGATGTTTTCCACCGTGAGTGAGCAGAGACAGAGTAGAAGCAGCAGCAGCGTCCAGAGGTTATGGCTAAAAGCCAACTGATAAGACCTGAACCGGAGAAGCAGCAGAAGCTAGCAGCAGAGCTACGGAGTTCTGGGGGTAAGAACTGATACTAGACCCCCCCAAACTCCTTTGATCCCTCTGAGAAAAAGAGGGAGATGGACTCCTATTTTGGAGAGCAGTTTTGGACATGCAGCACCAGAGAGAGAGAGAGAGAGAGGAGCTGAGAAGCTCAGAGTGTCCTGGGAAGCTGGACCGGGACGGAAAGGAATGTGGAGGAGGGCTTCGCCCCCCCCCCCCCCCCCCGCTGCCTTGAGACAGAGCACGGAACTCTGCAAAGGGGAATTTGAATCCCTGAGGAAGGGACTTTAACGAAGATGCCCCTGCATTTCGTGATATACCTGTGGTGACGCGAGTCTGGTCCCTGCTGGCAGCCCACAGGTGAGGCCTTCGCTTGGACCGAAGGAGAGCCGAGGGGCTTGGAGACCCCCTTGTGTGTATTGAACAGAGATCCAACTACAACAATCCAGTTACTGCTGCATGCATGAGATGAGGAGACCTGCTGCCTTAGAAGAGACTCCTGCTTGGGACTGGAAGGGATCTGTCCTTCTTTCCCTCCTGGACTTTTATTTGGAGGGGAGAAGAGATCTGATCCATTGTAAATACTATATGTCATGGTAGAGATAGTTGTGATCGTGTGTATAATGTGTTATAGTATTTATTTGTACAGTCATTGTAATATATTCCCTTTCCCCATTCTGAGTCTGGTTGTGTTTTGTCTGGAAAAACCCATCTCACATTGGGTTGAGATGTGGGAGGGGGGCTAGGACTAGGGAATTGGAATTTTGGGGCTATCTCAAACCATGACACAAGATTACTCACTTCTTCTTTCACAAAGCTGTACCACATCTATTTATAATGTTTAAAATACAGTTAAAGGAAATATTTTTTTACCTCTAAACAGGAGCTAGAAATTTTTCATAGCAACAGCTAGATAGTTTGATAGTTTTAACCAAACTTTCGCTTATGAGTACAGCTTTAAGTCAGAACACATTGACTTTTTTTTTTAATTAAATGTAACAGCTTTAAAAAAGATGAAACTTTATAAAGAAAAGTCAAACATCCTGTCACCTACTTTGGCTTGTAAACTGTGATAAAAAGGAAGAATGAAACATAACAAAAAGTTTTGAGATCCATTATGAAATAGATAATTAGTAAGCAAAGAAAGCCAAAATAAACACTGCACTTGGTGACACAAGTAGTTTTTGGAGTCATGCCCTCCTTCTTTTTCACAATTGTTTTCAGCTAAATCACACCTTTCAAATTAATCTTAAACCAAAATAATACTGCCTAGAAAAAATAATGGATATGAATAAGGAGAAAAATAAATTATTAATTAAAGGGCTAGGGAAATCAAAAAGTTCCTGAGGAGCTCTGACTACCAGTGCTGTCTGCAGTCAATAAGCTAGAATTCAAAGGTTTTACCAGGGAGCACTGCAGAGATGGCTGGTGATAATGTGCTTACCTGGCGTGTATGCAAGTAAGTACAAAGTTTCACCAAAGTGGGGTAAGAATAATGATGCTTCTGTTAGGGACAGAAACATTATAAACCTGTGAGTTTGAAAACTCAGAATACAGTATACACATCCTGCAAGGGAGTTAAACCAGTAACTAGTAACTCAGACACATCGAGATGCTGTAAAATTGATGTAATTGGAGTGTTCTGGCTTTTGACTTTCCTCCTGCAGAGATAATCAAGGACAGGAAAATAGCTAACCACTCTTTCAAGGTGTCAGAACAATTTATTTGTGTAACAGAGTCACAGAAAACACAGTTTGCATAGTGGAAGACAGTGTAACTCAGACCACAGATGAGATCCAAATGTGCACAGCTGAACATGGAGGCACACACACAGCCAGTCAGCCTTCATGGGTTGGTTGTGACCCATGTGTGACAATAAGTAATACCCTGAGGGCATCTCAGGTGTGAAACAGTCTCTATCATCCCACCTTGCTCACCAAAATAACCCTTGTCTTTGCTATGGGGTTACGAGCGAGTTCATATGGGATGCTTGTTGCATAATGGTCATGGTGTACACTGGGAGTTGAAGTTCTGATGGAAGCCTGCAAAAAGATGACCAATTAGAAGTGGAGAACAGGAGCTGCCTCTCACCTGCCTCTAACTGCCACAGCTCCTCCAGCTCGAAGCAGGAATGCAGCACTACCAGCTTTAACAGTGACCTGGGTTCCCTGCCCAGCATGCAGCAGGACTCAGTGCCCCCCAGCCTGGGCAGCAATAGCAGCTGGAAAGCTGATGGCCCAGAGGAACAGCCTCCCCACCTCTGCCAGGAAAGGGACCTCCCCCCAAGGCTGATCCCTGCCCCAACCCTTCACACAAGCCCAGGGAAGGGTCTTTGCTGGAAACAAGTGACTTACTACCACATGAACCAACCCAGCAAGTGACCCCAGCCAGGAGCGATGCTGACAGCTAGGCCTGGCTGGACCAACTGCACAGTATCGGGAGGCATGGAGTCCAGCACATCTTCTTCCAAGGCATAACATCCAATAGGGAAACACAGCAGTGTCCTAGTTAGAACAGCTGGGACCGATTCATCATTGGATGGGTGTAGCCCAAAACTGTGTATTCTATAGCCCTCCATGCCATTTCCCAGAAACTGTTGTCAGTAGAGGCTTGCGAGGTGCCCCCCCGCCATGCTCCTGTCCTCATGCCCTTTTGTGGAATTCCCTGACTGAGCACCCTCATACCCTTTTATGGAATTCCCCACTCTGAGGGAAGGACTGAACATCCTTTTATGGAATTCCCCACTCTGGGGGAGGGGCTAAGCATTGCTGCCTGAGCTGGAGAATATATAAACCTGGAGTTTCAGAACCTTGCTCTCTCTCCAGTCGTGGGATCCAGAGGAAGACTGCAGCTCACCGCTTTCAACCTGACTACAGCTCACCGCTCTCAACCAGACTGAGAGCACCATCCTCAACTGGACTGCAATAGCTCTCCCACCAGCAGGTTTTTTTTCCGCTCCCCCCTTTACTTTGGACTCAGGGGGGCCCGGGGAACACCGCTTGTTCATATCCCAGGGTACTGGGTTGTACATTTGGGTTTTTGTGGATTGAATTCAGTTGTTTGTCTGTATAATCATACTTGTTGTGTTGTTTTTAATAAATTGTTATTCTGACTTGTGGTCTCTCTTTTGAGTTCATTTTCCCCTGCTGGTTAACTTTTAAACCAGCACAAGCAGAAACCTGAGCTCATCCCCAGAGGGAAGCTGAGTATGGTGTGCACCACCATGGAGAATTTCTGAAGGGCACCTTGCATCTCCTGAATGGATTCATCTCCTGCCAGCACTGTCCCCCCAAAGATATCATGTCCCACCTGATCAGACAGGTCCTGTTGAATGTCCATGAAGAGGAGATCTTGAAGGACACCTACATGCTGCTGCTGAAGATCCAAATGCTCCATCCAGCCAATGCTGCCACAGTGGGATGGGACTGGATGCTGCTGAAATTCATCATGGAGGATAGGGAAAAGCCCCCCAGTCAGCTCCTCTTCCTGCAGTACGTGGTGCAGACCCTGGAGATGACTTGCAGAAGAATCTGAGGTTGCACCTGCTGCAGAAGTTGATTGCCAAGAAAGTACTTTTGTGTGACATGTGCTTCAACAATATTAAGGAAGTGGTCAAATGGTTGGTTGCAGCTATTACAGGAGTAGGGTTCTGCCAGTCCCAGGAGCAGCCGCAAGAAACTCCCTCCTCTTCAGCAGAAGCCAGGGTTGAACACAGCTCATCTGCACCAAGTCTGGCCAGCATACAAGGTCCAGCAGCTTTCTTTGTCCAAAAGGTGATGCTCCTGCTCCAGTGGATGTTGTCCATCACAGTGGAAGTGGACAGATCTCCCACCTGGAGCTCCCGTAAGACTGCAGATGAGATATTCGCATTTATACTGAATGTCCCCCTGAGAAGCCAAAGGGATGCTTTATTAAACACCATGGAGAGCCAGCTCCTGCACTGCAGACTGCTAGAGCTGTTGTTCCAGCACAGTTGTGATGTGCCCTCAACCTCATCCATGTCTCTAGAGATGACCCTGTATTTCCTGAACCACTGCTCTGTGCTACTGCATTTCGAGGATGAAACAGCAACATGGTAAAGGTGGGATAAGATGCTGCAGTACTTGAGTTTGCTGCTGATGAGTTACCAAAGCGTAACACAGGAGCACCTGCAGAGCTCCCTCAGTGACTGGATGGATTTGATTGTTCAGAAAGCCAAGCCCAGACTCCAGGAGAGTGACTACATCACCAACCTGGACATTCAGGTGAAGAGGGAGGACTTCATCAGCTGAATGCAGGAGGTCCTGGGGTAGCCTTTTCCTCCACAAATCTGGGAGAAATTGTCCTGCTGCAGGAGTTGTTCTCTATTGTCACTACTGCCTGATGGAGACAACCACTGCAGCAAGGGGGTATGCATCTGTGTCCACAGGCACCCAGCTGCAGTGGGTTCCCTCTCGGTATGTGAGGCCTTACATTGCCTCGTTATCAGGCCACACAGACATATCAATTGATATACTAGAGATCACCTCTTTGTCAAGTCAGGTGAGATATTTTTTAGACATGCCAATTGACATACTGGAGACCAAAGAAATAGGAAACTAAGTTGCTGTTAAATCTTTGTTTTATGGTTAAAATGCATAAGGATAGGGTTTTTGAGGTCGTGTGTGTGATGGTTTGAATGGGAGGCCGCCAGGTGTGTGCAGATGTGTGTGTGAACGTTTGAGTTAGTAAGAATGTGAATTTTTTAACTTATTTATGTTTTTTAAGATGCAATTACATTATTTTATTTTCTTAAAGGCTTAGCATGCTCAATTTTAGTTACATACATAACCCTTAGATTTAAAGCAAATTTGCAAACCCTGGTTTCCTTAGATCTAATATTATAAATCTTGGTTTCCTCAAATTTAACATTATAACCCTTGTTTTTTTATGAGGAGAGGTAGTCTTAATAAAGATTTTAAAGACAAGTTCTTGGTTTAATAAGTGCTCATAATAAGGCTGTTTTAAAGTTTAAGTGCTAAGTTGTATTGTTTTGTATGGTTTCAGTTTTGTTTTAATTAATAAAAACAGTGGATGGTTGGGGTTACGAGCTAGTTCATACGGGATGCTTGTTGCGTAATGGTCGTGGTGTACGCTGGGGGTTGAAGTTCTGATGGAAACCTGCAAAAAGATGACCAATTAGAAGTGTCCCGGGAAGAAGTTTTAAAGTGATTGGACAGGACTGTGCTGGCCCCCCCATGTTTTGTTACCGTGCTTTTTTCAAATGCAAGGACTTGTTCAGCCATTAATAAAGGATTCTCCGTTTTCCATCATCCCAGGAGGGTCTCGTTTATATTCACTGCCACATTTACCTTCAAGAAACAAAGCAGCTTCTTTAGGATGGTGGAGAGTGACCCGGAGAATGGAGACACACTTACTGCTCTTTGGAATATTGTCCTGTTACTGCTTGTGTTGCATGCCCCATTCAAACCACCCTATGTCCATCTGCATTTTGCCTCTCTCTCTGTCCTGAGTTGCACAAAGACACTGGTATCCACCTTTTCTTTTCTCTTTTCTCCAAATATATCTACTAATTTAGACTGTGGAAAGGGACTTAAGATAAGGGTAGTACTCTCCTAGGAGAAGGATGTATCCACCAGTGTGAAAAGTCTGGAAGGCTGATGACTCAGAGGTCCACTCAGAGGGCGTGCGCACCTACCACCTCAGGCTACCAGCTGGGTGCTCCCCTGGGGAGACATCAGGACAACTCACACGGCCTGAAGATATTCGTCTCTACTGATGGCCATAATGGATCCATCTGTGCTTAGAAGATGTCAAAGACTCTTGAAATGTCCTGTGATCCAGCATTAATCATCCAGTGAAGAACTCCTTGACCCAGGGGAGGTACCAGAGGTGTTCCCACCTACCCTGAGCCCAGTAAAAGATCACACTTGGACTTCACTCAGTTGGTCAAGGGTCTCCTTTCCTCACTCCATGGGACTTGTACCAGCCAGGCCCCTACCACCACCAGCACCACCTTAGTGGATCAGGAGTGCAACCACCATGGGAGTTACAGTGACCAGGTCTCACCACTGGACCCAGCTAGTGTCTTGTGGGTCCTTCCAGTCGCAGCCCTGCTCCAATTGCCTGTGCCAGCACTGCAGCCTGACCCTCCAAAGCATTCCTACCAGGTTTTAATCGGGGGGGGGGGGGGGGGGGGGGGGGGGGCATCTACCATCTCATTTTGGTCCAGGGGGGGGGGGGCTTGGGAATTTTTCTGGTTAGCTCAATCCAGTCTTATCAGTATTGTTTAGCATTCTTCTTGATAAAGAGTTTTGTGGGATTTTTTCACTTACATCTGGGTATATTTGATATCTCTCTTTCTCTCTCTCTCTCTCTGTATTGGAGAGAAGCAGGGGTATTGAATCAGAGGAAGGAGACTTCAATTCAAGGTCTCTGCACCTCCAAATTGTCTCAAACCGAGAGCCTCCTAGAGCCTCTCTTTGCTTGTGAATCATCTCCTTCAATGACTGTGTCTCAGGTTAGCAGTCTCTTTCCTCCCCTTGCACCAATAGAAATCCAGAGGGACTAACTTTTGCTTCTGCTTGAACACAGATTTAAGAGTAAATGATCTGTGTCCTTTCACTACTCTCTCCTTTCCAAGAAATAATATTCACAGCAACAGGCCAGCTGGCTTGAATATTTTTCAAATCAACAGGGAGAATAGTATCATGCTGCAAGAACTGGACTTACTGAACAGGATTCAGAAGAAAGTCAATTTAAAATGTTCTTCAGTCAGAATTGATTACATTTACATTTTACTGTAGATAAGAAAAATCTCCTTTTATGTAATCTCTCAGAAATAACTAAAGCACAAAGAAAAAAAGACACTGAAAGAACGTAATAGAGTCATCCATACATTTCTGCAATGGTTGTAGAGGAACACAAAGTTACATTGAAAAGGGTATACAGGTCTGCAGCTGGACCTGTATTGAAAGAAAGATTTCCATGCTGATATTTGTGCTGTCACAGACATGCTACTGAAAGCAGAATATTTTAACAGGAAATGCAGCAGTATTCTGTGTCACCATCTTCCTTAAGCACATCTAATAAAACCTTTGCAGGATCTTTTTGCAGGCATGACAGATGGAAAAAAAGTCTGAAATCTGATTATGGACCTCAACAACTTAGGTAAGTACTAATAGTGCTAAGTCCCTCAGAACTGGTGATCAGGTATGTTTAAATTTAAAAAAATAATCCAAATAGCATTTCACCAAATGCATATATGGAACAAAATCATAGCGCTGTCAAGGCTGGAGGAAGTAAGAGAATATGGATGGAAAAAATGCTTCAGGCAAGAGAGAAAAGCAGAAGACATGAAGAATAATATAGAGGTTAAAACAAACTAACTCAGCCAAGAAAAAATATCTTCCCCCAAACATACTCATTGTTCTTGGCCTTCAGGTAGTGTGTCAATATTAAAAGTAACCTAGCAATACCTTTTTCTCCTCAAAGTAGTATTTTATGATTAATGCATCTGTTGCAAATATTGTCTAATATATAATCACTTTGCTAAGCTTTTCACTAAAATATTGTCCATTCTGGTTGAGAATTGGCTCAGTTGGTTGGAGTCTGGCGCTAATTATGTCCAGGTTGTTGGTTCAATCCCTATAGGGGCCATTCACTTCAGAGGTGGACTCGATGACCCTTGTAGGTCCCTTCCAACTCAGAGTATTCTGCAATTCTGTAATTCTGAGGAGTTAACAAAACTAATGTCACAGCTATCACAGTAATCCTACAGTCAGCACAAACCTACACACCCTTACTGAGGCTTACAGCAGTCTAGATGTACACAGTCTGACACTACTGTTTCTCCATCCAGGGTTCCCTGTTACCTTTATACAGCAGCATCACCCTGTTGCCTAATATTTGACTAATGTCCTATTCTATCCAACTTCTTTTATGCCATTTGGCTGTCTGGCGCTGAGTTTAGAGACAAGCAAAGCAGAGGACTGCTGGCTCTGGCTATACACCACAGCCCTCCTCACCTTTTTTGCCTGGGCTGTCTTGCAAAGGAAAGGATGACTGCACGTTCCAATGCACCCAAGTAAGACAGGAATTATGGATTACTCTATTTGTATACAAAATCAACCCTAACCATCCACAAATATTTTGGAGGATGACTAGTGAAAAGGCAGCAAAAATAAGAGTGGCTTTCATCCAAAGTAGATATGCAGTGGAAACAGCAGTAAATGCAGCAGCTGGCCCAGTTACCATCTGCCACAGAATGCCTTCTACAGCCTCTGCAACTGTGTAAGAGTGCTCAGGGAGAGGTGTGCAACCTCAAGCTTTTGCAGAAGATGTATTATCTTAACCTTGTACGAGTCATTCCATATACTAGAAAAGGTAAAATGGTGGATCAGGAAAGGATCTGGTTTCTCCTCTGCACTCAGATCCTTCCTCCAGGTTGAAACACGCTGCTTTGCTGCTAGCTGAACAAATTGAGCAAGATATGAATGGCACAGAACTAAACAAGCACCACCACCTCTCTGCTGTAAATAAAGTAAAACCTGCCATGCAGGCTGCAGGCAGACTTTCCTCCACAAACTGATTAGAGTACCTGCACATTCTTCATATCACTATACTTCATCTATCACATTGTATGCAAATCATTGGCTACTGAAGTGCAACTCATTAAAAAAAAATACAGAGAAAACTACAAGTATAAAAACTGCTATCCCATTGTAAAAAGCAAATTTTTAAGAAATTTAAAGGATCCCTGCTCATTTTTCCCCAAGTACTTAAGTTGTTGTTGAGCAAATCGCATTATCTAGAAAGATTTAAATGCTAGTTTATCCCATATATCACTCCAAATTCCTTGTTAAAGTGTTTTGTAACCTTCAAGTGCTTAACACGTGCTTTTGTTTTGTAAACAATTACCACAGTCCAGGCAATTCTTGAGTATTTTTGTCAGTCAGAGCAGCAAAATGACTGTGTCTACCTACGTGCTTTTACAGACACTTTATAATCAAGAACCTGTATTTAACTGCTGTTTAAAGCTTACACTGTCAAAAAGCATGACCTCACTATGGTAGGCCCAATATAGATAAATATTAAATTACAATCCCTCAATAAATGCATTTAATTTTAACTCAGTTAAATATAGTCGATAAAAGACTTAATTATTCTCATTTCCTTTCTTAGAAGCTATTTATGTTGTTCTACAAATACTATTGACAAAACTGCTACATGTTTTACTTAATTTCATGACAGAAACTGTTGCACAGGACTTCTCAAATAAATGTAAATAATTCACAACACTTGAAATTTCACA